TGTGTGTCACAAAAAATCTTATCGCGAAATCATTGTTTTATTATCATTTACTTCCTTAAATGGTCGAGCACACGCCTATAAAATGGAAGATTGGGATTAGAGATATGGCAGGCAGATGGTACAATTGGGGGATATTGCTATATAAGTAGTAACTTCTCACGTTCTTCTCAATAATCTGTACACTACGATTCTTTAAATTGAGATTGGGGACGAATAATTGAGGCTTAAAGAAGTATAGAGGGCCGTAAAAGCCACGTTTCACATATGACGATTTTTGTAAGTGAGGAAGATTTGGCTAGGTTATAATTTTTTTAATTACTATAACTTGACACGAGATTTTTCGTGTGACACATCAACAAAAAGAGGAACAAAATCTTGTGTATGATGAATGTAGTGCAACGTTTCAAAGATGAGAGACCATTAGGAAATAGTTTAAAGTTTGATGAGTAAATCGTCCTTAGTATACATTGGTCAGTAATAAAATATTTTACTTCAATGATTTCGTTGAGTTGTAATTTTTTAATAGTTATAACTTGCCAAATGAAATTTTTCGCGCTATACATCAGCAACGAGTGGAAAGGAATCTGGTGGATGATGGATGGAATTTAAAGTCTCAAATACGAGTGACCATTGAGAAGCAGTTTGAAACTTGATAAGTAAACCATGACATAGTATAATTTGGGTAAGATGAAACATTTTACTTCAAAAAGTGCCAAATATTTGTCTGTAGACCTTTAGAGGAAGTGAGCTGATCTCAAGAAAACCCATTATTGAGAAACTTACTGTAAACCAAGAAGGGTTCACTTACAAAAATATCCATAAATTTAGGATAAAAGTGTTTTAGAAGTAAAAAGTAATGTTTAAAATTAAGGCCCTGTTTGGTAGTCATTTTTTTCAAAATGTATTTTTCTCTCTCTTCTTTTCAACCACACATTCTTTATTAAAATAATATTACATGTAAATCAAAAACTTTTCCTTATTTTTCAACCACACATTTCATATCAATTACACATTTCACATCAATTTACAATTCTAAAATGTATTTTTACATAAAAATGCCTATCAAACACCCCCTAAATATCACTTTTATTAAAAAGTATATGCTACTTTTATAAAAAGTGATCCTTGTCACAAAAAAAAAAATGACATAAATTCAAAAAAGTAACAAATAGTAAAAAAGTGAATGAAATTTAATAAGTAACAATACTAATAAATGTTAAATACTCAAAAAAAGTGAGAGACACTAAGCCTATATTTGAGCCACATTATCTTCATAAGAATGAATTTTTAAATAGTGTATTAATGAGAAATGTGTAGTTAAAAAATAAAGAAAAGTTTTTGGATTTGCAGATAATATTATTTTATTGAAGAATGTGTGATTGAAATGATGTCAAATCACTGTTTAAGAATATGTATTTTTTGAAATAATATGGGTCAAACATCCCTAGAAAAAGTAACAAAACGCCAATCAAAATCTTAGAAAACAATTCAATAATGTGACAAAAATTTAAAAAGTAACAAACACTCCAAAAAAGTGCGAAATAATATTTACGTCAATTTGTTTGTTGATGAGAAGCTGCCTGTAGCTGTAGCAATAGACGATTATGTACCCCCTAACTTTTCAATTATATGTGTTTCAATATATCCTCTAACATCATCAGTTCATGTCATTCTTCCTCCTTTCTTTTTCCCTATGAGATGATCATCCAAAGCGACAACATAACAATGTCAATTAGGATAATTAAGAGAATTAGAACTAGAAAAGCAAGAAATTTTAAAATAAGAATGCAACGGACATATTAAAAATTGTCGAGGATATTTACAAATGCACCATATACAGATATTGTTTTTACACTTCCAGTTGTTAAATATTTGAAAGTTGCAATTTAAATATCTATCTAGATGTTAGTCTATGTGGATAATAATTGCAATACTCACTATATAAAAATGACGGTGCAACTACTACTCTTGAAATGGATCTTACTATATTTTGTAATCATATTTCCAATCATTTTGTTGAAGTCAAATTGTTTGCATATAAATATCAAGATAACATCAATGAAGACATACATAGAACCTTTGTTATTATCTTCTCTTCTCTAGCTCTGTAATCATAGTTCCAATCATTTTTGTCAAAGTCAAATTTTATGCATATAGATACCAAGATAACATCAATGAAGAAATACATAGAATCTTTTTTATTATCTTCTCTTCTTTAGGTCTTCGATATTGTTATGGGTATTTTATTATATGGAATATGAAGTTAACGTGGAGATTTTTTTATAGTTAAAATTAATCAGAAAGATACTTTGTTTGATTTTTTAGATGATAAACCATACACAGCCCAACAAAAGCACAACTACTGAAATAACCAAAGTAATAATTTTCCATATCTTTCATCCTGTCATTTATCAACTGATGATAGTAAATGTATTGCCGAAAAAGAAATATCTCGAAATTCCTAAATTAGACCCTTCCCCCAAAAAAAAAAATGATCTTGTTAGCCACTGCCTGCGGATTGTGACGAAGAACAAAAAAGAGGAGAAGATAGGCATGAAAGAGAAGGAAGAAGAGAAAAAGCCCAATTCAAAAGGCGAAAAAGGAAAAACAAAAAAAAACAATGATTTTCCTTTTACATCATTTCACACACATACACACACACACACACACAAAGGGCCAAATGAGGCCCCTTCAGTTTTGGGCCTGAGGCAATGGCCTCATTGGCCTTTGCACAGGACCGAGTCTGGTGGTAGGAATGGAAATGACCAATCAGAGGATTGAAAGGAAAAAACTAAAAATGGGAGTAAATCTGACCAAGCAAATAATTTTGTAAAGGATATGTAAGATGAGTAGGAGAAAATATGGACTATAAAGCTTCACTTTTACTATTTGATTTAGATTTTGTAAAAATTAGTGATAAACAATTTTTAAATTGAGAAAATAAGTATTTAAAAAACATTTAGGAAAAAAAATTCAAGGTTTAACATCTATTTGTCATGTCAAACTATTTAACCTTATAAGATTATTATCTTCAATTAACCTAGAATTCTTTGTATTCCATATTGCTCAACTTAGAGCGTGGTGTCACAGACCTAGTTTTGGGCTGCGGCCCGGGGGACGTTAGTGTGGGCCGTAAATTAGTGGTGCTTTCAATCATCAAACTTTCACAATTAAAGAAGAAATGCTCTTATTCTTTGAATGGCAATATGCCACTTGGTATTCTTCTCGAATCCCGTTTTCACCATTTAGGTAGTCGAAGAAGCCTTGAAAGTAAATATATTAGCAAATGGTTTCGAAAGATTTTGACCAATTTTCATACTGAAAAACTTAAAACAGTTCGAGAAAAACTCAAACCTAACTCAAAAAATTTAAAACAATTTTAGTAAAAACTTAAACCTAAATGAAACAATTTAATTTAGTTTCAAATCACAATTTTAAATTATAGTTAAATTGTTCGATTTGATTCCAAGTTACTGTTGAAATTTTGAAAATCCAAATCAATCTGTTATATTGAGATTTTCTTGGATTAAAATAATATAATTAACAGGTTCATGTAAAATTAGCCATTGTTTGAGTCGCGTTTTTTCAAAATTTATTTTCAATCACACATTCTTCAATAAAATAATTTTACACGTAAATCCAATTTTTTTCATCCACATATTCTCTAAAAAAATTAAGAGTACCGCTATTTACATCCACAGTTTTTATATGTACATCCACTTTAAAAAAAAAAACTATATTGTATTTTTTATCTTATATAAATTTACCTAAATAGATATATATAAAATTAAATAAAAATATATTGTTCTAAATTCATCCACTAATATTTATTTTTTCCATAATATTTTTAAACCTTTTTTATATTCGTTTAGAGTTTATGGTTAATTAAAATTCTAATAATCATATATAAAATATCATCTTTAACTAAAATCATGAAACCCTAATAATAAAATATCATCTTCAAGGGAAATTTTAGAAAAAAAAAAATCAACAAATTATCAGAGTTATAATTCTTTCATGATATGAAAATTGGAATATTAATTTTTATGCCCTTTTAAGTATTGATTTGACAAATGAAAATATACAAGAAATTTCAAAATAAGTTTCAATATCTGTCCAAATATTCTCACATTATAAAATGAAACAAACTTAAAATTATTAACCGAAATACAAACAACCAAAATTATGAGCATATAAGCACAAAAGAAATTTAATTAATATATGATTCGTGGAGGAATTTGTTTGATTGCGCAATATACTATATAAATTCAAGAAAAGAGATTAACATTTATAACTAAATATTACAGTACCGACATGACATTATAGAAAAAAAAGAATCAGATTAAACATTGACAGTGATTGGATGAATCTAGTGATTCTCAAAATTGTATTAAAAATATATAGTGGGATGTATATATCAAATTTGTATAGATCTATAATATATAAATGAATGAATTTAATAAGAACAATATTAAAATTTGACGCGGATGAAAATATTAATTTTTTAATAGAAATGTATATAGAGTGGGGTACATATATAAAAACTATGAGTATGAATAATGGTACCCAAAATTAATATTAAAAAATACTTCTTTTTATTTTTTCCAAAATGGGGCTCAAATAAATGCTTAAATTAACGATTTCAAAACACGATTTTAGTTCAATTTGATAATTTTTACACTAGTCCCCCCTACTTGGAAGTTGGAAGGGTGTGATTAAAATCATATCAAAGGTTAAAATTAAAATCGTAGACTTATATAAGGGGAATAACTTGTTTGGTGAAGAGAGTTTTTGAAACAATTTAGAGGGTCATGCTATTTGTACATGTCATTTTATACTTTGAGTTATTCGATTCCACCTCCTCCTCTCACATGAGAATCGGGCCCCCACATTGTGGCCTCCACGTGAAACCCCGCCCCATGTGAGAGGAAGAGTGAAATCGTGTAAATCAAAGTGTAAGCTAACAAGTACAAATAACTTAATTCAACAATTTATCATTCTCGCGTGTGCCGTTGCAGACCTTTCCTTAACAAGTCCACCCCAAAAACATCAAATTCAATGTTCAAATGCTCCCCGAACCCAATAAATATATCATCAGAAATTGAAATCTAAAAATCCCCATTTCAAAAATCACGCCTAAATTCTTGATACACCTTTCGATCTATCAAAAATCCGACAAAAATCGCCCCTTTATTGGAAATTCGTATGCATATTTATTTATGATTAGAAAGAATGTATAGCAATTTCAAGGAGCAAGCAATCGAGTACGTGCGACAAGCGGTGGCGGAAGACAATGCCGGGAACTACACGAAGGCCTTTCCTTTGTATATGAACGCCTTGGAGTATTTCAAGACCCACTTGAAGTACGAAAAGAACCCAAAAATTAAGGAGGCTATCACTCAGAAGTTCACGGAGTATTTGCGCCGGGCAGAGGAGATCCGGGCTGTGCTCGATGAAGGTGGGTCCGGTCCTGCTGCTAATGGGGACGCGGCTGTGGCCACGCGACCCAAGACCAAGCCCAAAGACGGGGGAGGGAATGATGGGGAGGATGGGGATAAGGAGAAGCTAAGGGCTGGGCTGAATTCTGCTATCATTAGAGAGAAACCGAATGTTAAGTGGAACGATGTTGCGGGTTTGGAGAGCGCAAAGCAGGCTTTGCAGGAGGCTGTGATTTTGCCCGTGAAATTCCCGCAGTTTTTCACTGGTAATTTGTGTTTTCCTCTCAATATTGGTTGCTGATTTTTGATAAATAGCTAGAGGCATTGGAGTTTATTATGTTTTGTGTAATTTCCCGTTTACTTGGAATAGGTATAATTAACTTGATGAAATATTAATAGTATTCATCATTATCGTATAAGAGTTGTAGCGCATGGATGTAGTAGAAGGCATAAGTTTAATCTGAGAGTAGTATGTACGCTCAAGTTCATTTCTTTGTGGTGATGTTGATTGTTAATGATATATGTCTAATAATCCAATTTTATGTTGCTCAGAATGCAGCCTGCAATATTGCTGAAATGTAGTAATGGCTTATCATGCTGCCTTTATGTGTAATTTCAATTACTTTACTTACCAGAGAAAGCAAATCCAAATCAAAGTGTACTGCAAGGTTATCTTTACACATCTTTGTGCGCATTATTGTACTTTCCACATGAACATCAGAGACCCCCTAACTCATGGTTCCATCTATGTGTATCGATAGTATTTCTTGGTCAAAATAAGGCTTTCTATTTATTTATTTATAGAGAAACAGGTAGTTTCATATTTTTATGATTTATTTGGTGATCCATCCGTAGTGCTATAATCATTGGATACTAAGGCCAATATGGTTCATTTGGAGTTCTTCGAGTGGAACCCTAATTGTGAAATACAAGGAGCTAGACACTGCATGTGATATTTCCGTAGATGATAGATTATGTTGTTGACAGGGTAAAATATACTTTCCGTCCAGTATGGATGCTTTATAGGCATATTATAGCTGCATACTGATAATTAATTAATGTGACCATGATCTATTAGGACTTCTTTATCTTACTATGGGCGGTAGCTCTAGTCATGCTTCGTATGAAGGGTCAAGTAGCAAAATGACTTAAAAAGATCTATGAAATTGTTGGCTTGCTAGGTTATAACATGCAATTAAGGAAATTTCTGGACTTTTGAGGAGTAAATGAGAGAACTGAAGAATTTGTAGTTTTTGGTCAGCAATTATGGTTTCTTAGCTTTGTATTTTGTGTGGAGATCATAGAAATTGGATTTCGTATTTGGCTAGCATATATATTAATGATCCATTTGTGAACAATTTATTTTAAGACAATTGTGAAATTTCTTATTAAATGAAGAGGTAATGAGATTATTTCTGTTTCTACTAATATTCTGGAAAGTATTATTTCTGTTTCTACTAATATTCTGGAAAGTTGATGGAGTAGGTTAAGGGTTAAATCAGTTGAGGTTTCAACTTTTTAGTGTTTTCAAAAAGAATGGAGAGTGGTATATGTGGAGTGCTACTTTGTTTTATTTAAGTTGTGTTTCTTAGTGGCTACAAGTTGTTTTTCTTTTGGAAGACTTTGTTAATAGATTCTGTCATGGATATCTTGCACTCAAAGAATTTGTAAACAAGTGAAAGCAATTGCAGTGGGGGTGAGAAAAGTATGGTTGAGATCTTGGGATAGTAGCATCTTATTGCAGTTTAAAAAGAGCCATTCACGATAAGAAATCCAATTTTGAGTTATATCCAAGTGGATGGTGTGAAAATAGGAAATATGCATTAACAGGTGGTGAAGGCTATAACAGAGCGTTGTAAGATTCAAGTTGTACTTGAATTAACCCAATCCCTAATTCATCCATGAATTGCACTCTTATTCATGTATTATGCAGTTTTTTTTGCACTAAAAATCTATCTTCATATTTTTGTGTAATGTGCTGATGTCCATAAAATTTCTATAATTCTTATTTTCTGTATGTTTTTGTCATTTCTCTAATAAATAGTGGACCATTTTATCATGTATATGAAAAGTGAAAACAAAAGGATTCAGATCAAGGTAAAAGTAGTTGGTTTCCCACCACTTCCTGCTTATTTTCTCTGAAAACCTTATGTTGCAAAATCATTTGATTTTTGTCTCCTTGTTCACATAATTTCTACTAGCACTAGTTCTTAAAATTTATGTATGAGTGCCTTTGTATTAGAACTTTTTTTGAAAGAAGAAAAGCCCATCTTACATCCTGTCTTGCTTAATTTGTTTAGTGTAAAACTACATAATAGAAGAATTGCTCCAATAATGCAAATAATATTAGCAGACTTGTCAGCCCCTGGCATACACACAAAAACAGTGAGAGACAAAGAGAGGGCGAAATAGAGACATAATGGAAAGAAAGAACACTCCATCCTGTTTTGGTTACACATAGTTGGAGAAAAAGTGTTGTGTTGTACAGCACAGTCCTTATTTTGATTTATAATATAGATTGTTATCTCATGTGATATTAGGAAAGAGGCGCCCATGGAGAGCTTTTCTTTTATATGGTCCACCTGGAACAGGAAAGTCGTACCTAGCAAAGGCTGTTGCTACTGAGGCCGATTCAACATTTTTCAGGTAACTTACCTGTACTAATGCGGCTCTTGCATTTATCTTTTTTACTTTCCAAGTTGTTGGAAAATTGGTGAGGGCTTCAAAAGTTTTCTGCCGAGCAGTCAATTTTTAGATGAATTGTTCTTCTTGGCTTAATGGTGAGGTAATGGTGGTTTGGATGCTAACTACTTGTAGAGCAGCCAAATGGATGTTTGTAATTGTTTTAACTCCCAGCCTATGATGCACAGACACACCAGCAAGGCTGGAGCCTGGGGTTTTAGTGTTTGAGTCGTAATGAACTCACGTCAACCTGTTGGACATGTCCTACATGTGGGGTGTATGTCCTGTGTTTTTTTGTCCAACCTGCTGTTGATGTGATACTTAGTTGTCCGGCATTGCTCAAACAATTTTTCAATATATAGAATAAGTATTAAAAATGGCGAACATAGATATTAAGATAAACTAGAACCAGGGCAGATTTATTAAAATGCAAAATGGCCATGTAAAATGGAAAGAACTGAAGGAAAACTTAGATATCTCGATTATTCTCTAGGTAATTTTCGAGGTTGTTAGATCAACAATTAGTAAAACTGAGAGTGGGGAGGGGAGATGGGAACAGATCTTTGGAAGAGGGAGTTGAGAGGAGATGGTGAGACAAGAGGAAGAATCTGTTTCTGCTTCATTTTTCCCAGCTTTCTTATCACTCTCTTCTGTGCTGAACTATTAAATGTTGAGTTTGTTCTTCAGTTGTCTGAATTTATTTATTTATTTATTTTTTTGTATCTCTAACTTGATATTTTGCATGATAGGACGATAAACAATTATTTCTAATTACTCTATTAAAGTTAAACCTACCTGAATATGGAGTATCAAGAACCTTTTTGGCATTTGATTGTGGCCTATTTTTTGTCCCTGCAATCTTTTGGCTCCTGTAATAGGTCAACAATCCATGATGCTTGAGGACAGTTCTTAGATTCACAGTTAAAGAGAAATGCTTAATGGGTGCTCCTCTCGCTCCGCATACAACAACAAACTACGCCCTTTCTCACTAAATTGAGTCAGCTACGTGAATCCTTTTTCACCATATCATCAGGTTTGTTGCTAGATTGAAAGTAATTAGATCTTTAGCAACTACCACAAGCCAAGTTAATTTTGGTCTTACCCTCTTCAGGCTTCATCTGTCGCAATTGCGTCACTCTTATGAAAGGGGGTCTCTTTAGGTTAATGCAAAATGTTATCATCATAGTTTTCCTTCCTTTAGTTTATCCTCAATTGGTGCCACCTCCATTTGTTTTCATGCATAAAATTCAAATTTGAAGCATAAAAACTGTTACTTGGCTGAGATAAGATGCTTTTTTTCTTCATGCATGTTTCCCCTTTTTCATATGCTATTTCTATTTCAGATGGTTCAATCATCAAGCACTTAAGTCGTAAAGTTGGCAAGTGCCAACTGCTTTTCTTTTGCAGCATTTCTTCTTCGGACCTAGTTTCAAAGTGGATGGGTGAAAGTGAAAAGCTAGTTTCAAATCTTTTCCAAATGGCTCGAGAAAGTGCCCCCTCTATTATATTTATTGATGAAATAGATTCTCTATGTGGCCAGCGTGGTGAGGGAAATGAGAGTGAAGCTTCCAGACGAATCAAAACAGAATTACTTGTTCAAATGCAGGTAGTATTCAAATTTGTCATCTTTGATCTTTCTGACAGACTATTTTTAACATCTCTTTTCAAATCGTCTTGTTAGTCAGTTTTGTGATTGCTTTTATTTGATAGCTGCTGTGACCGTAGTCCACCAGAACATATGTTCTTATAGTAGTAATTAGGTCTCAGAGTTCTAAAGTTAACCTTTTGGCTTTTACGGTTATCTAAATCAGTGTCACCTGGCTCACCTATAAGAATTGTTCATTCAGTAGGTTCATTTGGTTGATTATTTCCTACTGGTGACTCTTATTCTACCTCAAGCTTCCCATTTGCCAGGTGCTAATCCATTGAACTCTTCGGAGATAGATCACATTTATACTCATGGTACTGTAACTGACCAAGAGGCAAAAGGAAAGGAAGAATTATGAAACTGAGACTTGAGATTATATTTATATTCTTTAAACTCATGGTACTGCAACTGACCAAGAGGAAAGATTGTCTTCCCGAAAGGAAAGGAAGAATTATGGAACTGAGATTTGAGATTGTTCTTTTTCCATTTTTTGTTGCTAGTTAGTATTGACATTGTCTGTGATGCTACATGTCATGCATAATATCAGCAATTTAATCTCTATTATTTTCTGATGAACTGGACCTGATCCAATCTAATTAAATGTTTAGGGGGTAGGACACAATGATGATAAAGTTCTTGTTCTTGCTGCCACAAATACTCCTTATGCTCTGGATCAGGTAACGGCCATTTCAATTTATCCTGTGTCTGAACTGCAAATATTGTCTAAAATTTATGATTTCTCATAGGCTATCCGGAGACGATTTGACAAGCGAATATACATTCCTCTACCAGATTTGAAGGCACGACAACACATGTTCAAGGTATGAGATTTGTTTTTCTTCTTTTGCAACAAGATAAATGAACATAGAATAATATTCTCTTGCTTGTGGCTTAAATTATGCAGGTGCATTTGGGAGATACCCCTCACAACTTGACTGAAAGTGATTTCGAAGTCCTGGCTCACAAAACAGAAGGGTTTTCTGGTTCTGATATTTCTGTTTGTGTAAGTGTGTGCGCGTGATTCATTGCTGGCACATATAATTCCCCATATCTTGTATAAGTAGGCACTACTTTCTTAACACTTCATTGAATGTGTATTTTCTTGGCTTTGTAGGTTAAGGATGTGCTATTTGAGCCAGTACGTAAAACACAAGATGCCATGTTCTTCATCAAGTCTTCAAATGGTATGTGGATGCCATGTGGACCAAAGCAACCTGGTGCTGTCCAGATAAGTATGCAGGAGCTTGCTGCACAAGGACTTGCTTCTAAGGTATGGAATGGGGTGTACTTAACGACTTATTCTCATGATTTGACCTTGGAAAACATTACATTGTGCAATCACAGAGTGAAAAGAACTAGGGCTGGGCAAATCTCTCGAACCGAATCGAATCGAACCGAAACCGAACCCGAACCTGAACCCCATGGTTCTTGTCAAATTAAATACCCGAACGGGTATCTAAATTGAGAACCGACGGGTATTGTTCGGTTCAAGACCAAGAACCGAAGAACCGAATCTTTCTAATTTTTTTTATATTGAATAAATCAAATTATTTTAATTTTAATTTTTTTTAAATAAATTAACAATTTCTAAATCCAAATTTTTGGCCAAATAATTTGTTTTATTTCTAATTTTTTAATTTTTGGCCAAATTACCCATTTTATTGTTACATTTCTTAGCCCAACAAAGATCCAACCCACTAAATAACCCTAAATACCTACGCTAAAGTGCATAACGCTGTCTCGACTCTCACACTCACTCTCGCAGCCTCACTGACATTCTAAAACTTATACAATCGCCGACCGACACTGTGACCTCCAATCGAAGTTGAAGCTGTGATCTTCGTTGATCGAAGCATTGACCGTAGCGATCATTTGAACAAGGTCCAAATTTTTGGCCCAATAATTTGTTTTATTTCTAATTTTTTAATTTTTGGCCAAATTACCCATTTTATTGTTACATTTCTTAGCCCAACAAAGATCCAACCCACTAAATAACCCTCAATACCTACGCTAAAGTGCATAACGCTGTCTCGACTCTCACACTCACTCTCGCAGCCTCACTGACATTCTAAAACTTATACAATCGCCAACCGACACTGTGACCTCCAATCGAAGTTGAAGCTGTGATCTTCGTTGATCGAAGCATTGACCGTAGCGATCATTTGAACAAGGTAGTCTACTAGTCTCTGACATTCTAAAACCATTGAATGTGTCATTAGTAGTATTTATATAATTTTGTTATAAATGTTAAAAAATGTAATTATGGTACGGAACGGAACCGAACCCGAACGGTTCCATAATTATATTTGAACTCGACGGTTCCATTTACTTGATACCCAAAAATTGTGGTTCGGTTCGAACTGACCCGCGCCCATCTCTAAAACGAACAGTAAAACGCACAGGTAATTGATGCATGACTAAAAATTAAGATGTTAGCTCTTTGATTCTATGAAACTTGAAAACACATGGTTCATAGAAAGCACCTTCCTCTACCTAAAATATGGACAATAGATGTTTTTGTCATGCTTATTGCCCTTGCAATATTGACTGCATCTCATCTTGTGGAGGATACATGCTTTGTAGACCTAATGGTCACTGACATGGTAGTTGAAATTCACCTCAGTGCACGATGAGTAAATATTTTAATAGCTTCGATATGCAATCAAATTTGTCCAATCTTATTACTTCTTTCCCCGACAAATACTATGCTTATCAATTTAAGTTAATCTTGGGCCTGATTAATGCCTCTGCAGATCATTCCACCTCCAATATCAAGAACGGATTTTGATAAGGTGCTAGCAAGACAGAGGCCAACAGTGAGCAAAGCCGACCTTGACGTGCATGAGCGATTCACAAAGGAGTTTGGAGAGGAAGGTTGAGGAATTTGAGGTGCATATACTGCTTCTCTTCACGCAATTGTTGTCCGTTTGTATTTTGTTATGTCAAACATAAGCTTCTTTGAACGGGAAGGTGAACGTGACCTTCCTTTTTGACCATATCGTGCACGAAATGAGTCGATATTTCACAAATTGCATGTATTTTTATTAGAGAGAATGATGAAATTGTCGCCTGGATATTTGTTAATATGGTGTATGCACGTGTAATGCTAATTGCTGTTGGGTTGATACGATATGATATTGTCCCAACACAATCCTCTTAAACCTTTCAACTTGTTGGAATGTTTCGAAAAATATTTTTCTAGATCAGTAGTTTACTAACCTTAAAATACTTGGCAAATGAGTTTTATACCGTTGAAGAATTTACGAAACATCTCCCTTCACATTTCTCATTCCCTCTTCTCTTTGCTCGTTGCTGCTTCTGGACCTTTAAATAGCGATCTCCTTCTTTTGGTTGGTAAAGGAATTTCATTGCTCACAACGCTGACTCGATACTTTCCCTTATCTTTACTTTCATAGTCACTATCAGCAACAATTGAACTGTGGTCAAGGACGACCACAAACTCGTAATCACCTGATCCCGGTTCTTTCTGTATGGCCTTCTTCTGGAAAATTTGGTTCGCTTGTTGCTGTGCGCACTGAGAAATGTATTGATTATTATAATGTCTAAAGGAAATGTAACCAAAATTCACGAAAAAAATGAGTCGAGGACATTTTTAGATCATAACTATAGAAAGAATCTTAGAATGAAATGAAGCATGATTTTCTGTCTTTAAACGTTGCAGGCACCTTTTATAGACACAGACACCTTCGAAGGTATTCAAGCCTACTATTTTCCCACAGCGTGAATCGGTAAGTCGACGTTAGTTTTACCCCTGACAAGGAACAACGTACCACATTAAACTTATATTTTTTTACAGTCATATGCAGTATTAAAATTTACCTGTTGTTTGAGCCCCATTCTTTTTATAAGAATAAATTTTTGAATAGTGTATTGATGGGAAATATAATTAAAATATAAGGAAAAATTTCAAATTTACATGTAATATTATTTTATTGAAGAATGTATGGTTGAAATGATGTCAAATCATCGTTTACGTTTGACTTGTAGAGAGTGATAAACTTGCAATATTGAAAATTCGTTGATAAAGTTTGAGGAAATCATAAATCATAAAAAAAATAAGTGCTCATGTAACATTTACCGTTAAATGACGAAACTTTCAGGTGCTTTGCCCTAATAACTGGCCTCACAGCAAGGATTTCTGAAATATAATTTGCTCAACAAAATTTTCCCACAATAACAGTTTCCAACCTGCATAATCAATTTGTTTCGCGTTTAGTGTTACTAATAAAATCAAATAGGTATAAGAAAGAAAATAACAAGGAACATATGAACGCAATTTTAAAAATTATGTGAACATACATTTTTGATCACATATCAAGAATAATTCTAATAATACCTACAATAATATTATTCTACAAAATAAGTTATTTCTTTCTATATTAATTAGAATTTGTATAATAAATTCAGCTCAATACAAGGTAAACATCACGAAAGGTAAATATAAATAGTGCACGAGATTACTTTTATCTTTATTCATGTCCATATATTTATGCAATTCTTGGATTTCAGTAGAATGGAATGTTGATAGTATAATTGAACTGTGATCTTTCTCAATCTTCTGAACCCTTGCTTTTCCAGACTTATTTCATTGTGTTTCTCCAGACTTGATATTTGAAACTAGCTAATTTTACAAACGCGTTGACTATCAAGAACGTTTTACTCAAAATCCCTAATATGCAGTGATATTATGATCATCTAATCCTATTTTCAACAAAATATCTGATTAAAAGAAATCAATGGGCGAAATATTAATCTACTATATATTGAAGAAAGAAATCTTGAATTTTTTGGTTTATGTTCATACACATTGTAAAAGAATTATAAATTTCTTATGGAATGTATAACGCTCGTTAAAAACTGACATAAGGCACGAGTAAAGATATAAAACCACCACCTATGTATTTATTATTAGTTGTAGTTATCACTTAATATAGGCAGGAGTAAATATGACAGTAGATAGAGCAATAGTATGTGATGCAAAGCGATGAACTACATTAAATATTTTTATCTAACTTCTAATAAAAAAGGGAATGAGCGTTAATTATTCATGCAGTAATAAATGAATCCAATTTTAGATGTCATTTTTTATTTTTTATTTTGTTTATGTCAAACAAATATTCTTCCACACATTATCCCACTAGCATTAAAAAAATAATTATGTCAAACAAATGTTCTTCTACACATTATGCCATTAGCATTAAAAAAAAAAAATAGCAAATATAAATCGCTATGAGCAAAAAAAAAAAAAAAAAAAAAAAAAAAAAAACCCCATAAAAAAAAAAAAAAAAAAAAAAAAAAAAAAAAAAACCTCACACATGAGCTTTAAAAAATAAAAATAAATATACTCTCCGTACAGTACGGAGAGATGACAAACCACGTATGGAGTAAAAAATGAAGAAAAAACGCTCTGCATAGTACGGAGAGTTGGCTAACTCTTCGTACAGTGGGAAGTAAAAAAAAATCTCTCTGTACAGTACGAAGAGATGACAAACACCATGACAAAACTCTTCGCATGGCGCACAGTGCGGAGAGATGACATTCTGTGCAGACATTATCCTGACAAAGTGCGGACTCTCCGTATGTGGAGTAAAAAAAAAAAAAAAACTTCGCATAACCAACTCTCCGTACAGTGTAAAGTTAAAAAAAAAAAAAAAAACTCTCCGCAAAGTGATTGTTTCGTGCGTTGCACGAATTTTGTATTTATCATATTTTTATTAGTGTATGAATTTTAGTTTTTTAGAAAGTTTTTGAAACAATGAAATATTTCCATGATATAAGAAAATAATTGCAAATTATTTTTACAATTGCATAACAGTATTGTGTCATCTATAAAAAATATATTTGTATATTTCATAGTTGAATAAGAAATATACGAGATTATACAAATTATTTTGCTTGTATTCTTTGTTAGTGTTGATATGATTGAGTTGAATGTGAAGATTATATTTTTAAATTTTGTGCAATTCAATATTGGAAAATTGAAGATTGAGCATTATATTTATATGCATTTATATTTTATGCTTCATATATATTTAATATTTATTTTTATGCTTATGTTGAAAAAATAAAAATTTGGAAATTTTTTTGAAATTTGGTTTGGTAAGTGAATGTACGGTGTTCTGCATTTTCGGTATTTGTAAGTACAAAAATCGGTTTATAAAAATACAGTAAGTTATAAATATGGTAGACAGCATATACGATAAGCTGTAAATACGGTAAGGTGAAAATACGGTAAGTTGTTTGCAAATACGGTAAGCTGCAAATACGATAGGCAATATATACGGTAAGCTGTATATACGGTAAGCTGCATATATAGATTTATAATTTGTTATAAATGTATAAAATTTATTTAATATTGAATTTCTTAAGTATTAAATGTTGTAATTCAATATTGTTTCCTTTTTTATAATTGTATTTCCGAGAACTAAAAAAAAAAAAAAGTGGTTATGAAATTACTAATTTTTAAATTTGTTTTTTTATTGAAGATAAAAATAATTTTTTTATGTTATTTGTAAAAAAAAAAATTATTGTAATTTTATTAGGGTAATAAGAAGATTTATTATGCATTTTTATTTTTTGTATTTTTTGAAGAATTTTGTTTATAATAATTGACAAATATTTTTTCACACACGCATCATGCCAACAACATTAAAAAAATAATAATAATTTTAGTATATATAAATTTCATGAGATAAAAAAAAAATCTCCGCACATGAGAAAAAAATAAAATGAAAAAAGACTCCGCAAAGTGCGGAGATATGACAAACTATCTCTCCGCACAGTGTGAAGAGAAAAACAAAAACTCTCGAGACTTTATTTGCAAGTTCCAAGAGACCTTTTCTCAAATAACTTTTGAGCAGTGCATTGAACAATTTAATTTCTGGCCTACAATTTGAAAGTATAATTTCATTGAAAATTGTATCCGCTTCTAATGTCCAATAGCTGTTATCAAGTAAGTGTAAAATATTAAATTTGGATGGTACCCTAGAGTCTCAATTTGTGAAAGCAATTACATGGTACTATCAATATCCCCTTTTTTGCATAACTCACATATTGTTTTATTGCATAAATTACGAGAAAGCTCATTTCCAATATCGTAAATATGATTTGCATACTCAGAAATTGAACTGTGACTGAAAATTAAATAAGACATAATTGATTTTGAGTCATATTTTTCGACTTTGTTTCGTTGTATATACAAAAAAATTTACAATCTTGAAATTTGATTTGTAATTAAGGAATTTGAAAACAACTCTTCGCACTGTGCGGAGAGTTTTTTCTCTTTGTATTATGCGGAGAGCTAATTTTTCATCTCTTCACACTGTGTGGAGAGTTTTTTTTTTTTTACTCCGCACTGTGCAAAGAGTTTGCCAATTCTCTGCACATGGTTCAACTCTCTACGTACTATGCGAAGAGATTAACTTTCTTCACATAGTGCGGAGAGTTTTTTTTTTTTGGCTCTTCGTACTGTGCGGAAAGTTTTTTTTTTTTTTTTCCAATTTTACAATTTTGAATTACACAAATTTTAAAATATAATCTTCACATTCAATTCAATCAAATTAACACTATCAAAGAATACAAACAAAATATTTTGTATATTTCTTATTCAAGCATATTTTTCTAAATAACATACTGCTATGCAATTGTAAAAATAATTTACAATTATTTTCTTATATCATGGAAATATTTTTAGATATTGTTTCAAAAACTTTCGAAAAAAACTAAAATTCATAAACTAATTAAAATACGACAAATACAAAATTCGTGTAATGCACGTGATAGCGACTAGTTATTGTATAACATACAATGCTTGAAGAAAATCTGAAATAAAAATTGAACTTTGAGATAGAACGACATGTTATCTTATTACTTCACCATAGAAGAGAATTAATAATAGTTTAGAAGGACAATATCTAGAATTCTAATTCCTCATCACCTCCTTTCAAGAATAAAATGTATGGAAACATGTATAAACAATGAAATTTGATCACCAAGATGGATTTTAAGAAATTCTAAAAATTTAGTTCGAGTGAGAAAAAAAAATTATGAATGATTTTAAACAAAATGGTCAATAAGTTTTATAAGGTCAAAAAATAATTGAAAATATGACTTATCTAGTGAAGCACCAAGGTTTTTTCAACTCCCCAA